CCTCTCACTCATCCTCCATTCAGCCACCTAACCTGGCCCACAGTTCCCTGCTGTCTCACAATCTTCATGCCTTCGCCCACATTGTCCTTCCGCCTAGAATGCCCCCACCAGCTGTCTCTCCCATCTCCACAGGCCTGGATTCTGCCCATCCCTCAAGACAGAGCACTAACGGCATCTCCTCCAGGAAGCCTTCCTTCCTTCTTCCTCAGCCCAGCGCACGGGTCTCCTCAGTCCCTCCTCTCCCCACCTCACCTCCTGGTGGGCACAGACCCACTACAGAGGAAAATGAGCTCCTTGAAGAAAGGAAGGCTGTCCAGCACCTCATCTTACCCCCCACCCACGGTCCCAGCCTTTTTTCTGACTCAGGTGGGTGTTCAGACCATCTCTGATGAGGAAACTCAATTACGCTCAAAAACACAGGAGGAGGACACGCACAGGAATCCGGGATGCTCGGCCCAGGCCCACCAGCCTGGAGACCCGCCGCCGTTCAGGGGGCAAAGCAGCATGAGCAAGCGGGACGCATTTCTGGTGGCTTTCTCTCGCAGACAAGGGACAGGCCCTCTCCCCGTTTAACCCCCCATGACCTTTGAACTTCCCGGGAGGTCAGCAGCACGTCCCCTTCCCCAGCTGTCTCTCTGTCTCTGGCCCGATGGGAGGGAGGGCCCTGGGCCGGTTCCATTTTGCGCCCGTATTGATCTGTTGGCAGCAATGGGCTGGATAATTAGCCAGGAATTAGGGTTTCTATTACAGCCAGGAGGCTGCTCCAGCTGATTTATCACCTGAATAATTTACTGTGATTGAAAGGAAATTAAAATGAACTCCATTTGACAACTGTGAGCTTTTATGGGCTTTAGTGAAGGCTCAAAAGCCAGATTAATAGCCTGGTGTTGGTTAATAGTCTGCCGAGAGTAAATACGGCAGGCTGTGCTCGGAGGCGGCCTTCCTGCCGAGGCCAGAGGAGGGACGCGCTCCCGCCAGGAGCAGGCAGGCGACAGCGGCACCGCGAGTTTTACTGAAACAGATTCCACTGTTGGAAACGCACGCGCCACCGGCACTTGGCTCTTTCCTTTTCTTTCTTTTTTTCCCTCTCTTCCCCTTCAGCGTGATTTTTACTCACTCCACACGTAGGGAAAATAGAATTACTTTTTCAATAACCATTTTGAAAAGGAAGTGTTTCATTGCCCCAGAAGTATGTACACATCACACCCAGGGCCAAGGGTTTACTAAGTTTCCATACAAACGCAGGAAGCCTAGCCTGCCCACCCAGGGCGGATCTGGGTGGGAACAGCGGCAAGCTGGGGGTGGGCGTGATTGGCAGGACCCCACCCCCACCCCACCCCCTGGGCCTGGCATCGACGAGGGATGTTCTTCCCACGAGTGGTTGAGATGAGTAATCTAGGAGGATTTGACCACCAGAGCCCATGGCGAGAAAGACTCGGAGGATTCTGGAATGACAGGCAGACTCCAGCTGCCAAAGACCAGTTCTGAGAATCAGCCAGTTAGAAAACGCTGCTAGAATCTTTTGGGGACGGGGAGGCTCATGCAACCATCTAACACAAAATGAGGACAGAAGACCCTGAAGGCAAGTTCCAGCTCTGTGGCCTCAACAAGTCCTGGAAGATCCCTGAGCTGAAAATGGTGCGAATGGGAAAAAAAATATTCCAGTCTGCAAAATGGAGCTCACAGGTCTTGCCCACACCGTTCAGTAGGCATTTAAATTGCGAGTCCAAGGAGAGAACGGATGGGAAAGACCTTAGAAAACTGTACAGCAGGTACCCTGCTTAGGTGGGGACTAACTTTGTTGGGTTACTGCCGTGCTATTGCTGTTGTCGGCAAAACCACAATTACAGCCACCACAGATAAGGAAACTGAGGCCCGGAGAAAAAGCCACATGCCCAACTGGGCAGAGCCAGGACTCAAGTCGAACTCCCTTAACCCCCAAGCCAGATAAAGCTCTTTCTTCCCCACAGGCTGCTTAGTGAACCTGACAGCAAGCCCCCCCGCCCCCCCAAGGCCACTGGGCCACGGACACAGGTCTGCTAGCATATAGAAGAGACGCCACCCTCAGCTGCCAGAGCTCCAGGGCCCCCTTCTTGGGGCCACCGCCATGCCATGCTGCTCAGGGGCTCACGAGGCAAGGCAGAGAGTGGGCCTGAGGGGGTTCCTATCCCTGTGTGTCAACCTTGTATGGCAACCCATACCCTTGACATGCACCCTTCCCCGGGCTGTGGCCCCTCGCTTTGGCTGTCATTTGTCCAGTGACTGGGAACCAGGAGCGAGGGTACGTCATTCATAGTCCAGTGCCTGTGTGTGTGCCTGGCAGCCCCACGGCCTCACCTTCCATCTCTCCTCATTACGCCGCATTACGGGGAGGTGAAGCAGATTAACCAGAAAGCACTGAGTCAGTCATTATCCCGCCACACGCTTGCCCACAGGCCCCGCCTCAGAGCCACACAGACACAGGCCCGCGGTCATGTCCGCGCCATTCTGAAGGACACTGCACAGCCAGACTGCTAGGCACAGGGCCCTTGCAGAGTTTGTAACTCAGGTCTCCTCGCCGCCAGGCCCGTCTCTCTACATGGGCCTATCAGGACCTGTCCCTCGATGTCGCCTCCTCTGCAATGTCTCCCCTGATGCTCCCAAATGAGGCAACTTCCCGGCTCAGCACGGCCCACAGAACCTTCTCCCTTACCTTGCAGGTTCTGGATCCATGTCACATTGCCCCTGAGAGAGTGTGGGCAGACAGAGTTGGCACCTGACTCATCCCTCCGTCCCCTGGGTGCCCGGCACTGTGCCAACCTCACAGGCAGCATGCAAGAAATAGGTTGGATGAATGAACATATGAATGTCTAAGCAAGTAAGGAAACACACGGATGGCCTCTGGACTCCTCCCAGGTATGATGCTCTGTGGTCTCTGCCCAGATTTCCTGGGCATTCAAAGCTAAATACGATGCAGATTCTGAATTCCGTAAGAACTGTGGGAAACCGAGTCTCTAACGCGGAATCCCTGTGTTAAGTAAACAGGAACTTAACACAAGTGCTGGAGGCTCCAGGAAGCAGAGGCCAGGCTAAGTATAGCGGCCTGGGCCCTTACTCTTCACCACTCACTTGCTGGGTGACCCTACACAAACCCTGTCCCCTTCTCGGGGCCTCTGAAAAAATGAGGGAGTTGAAAGCTTGCCTCTGTACTTACTCTCTGCTAGTCTCTAAAATCATGTGATCCTGTCAATGGTTAGAAGATGGATTTTCTCCCCAGTTCTGAAAGGAAAGGAAGCCTTCATCCAAGCAAGTTTCCTTTTCTTTCTCCTGCATCAGATGGAATGTGGCTTTGGCCATCTCCCAGAAGGGCCTCTGAGCAGGGGGAGAGGCTGTTTGTGATGGAAACAGACTCTTTTCCTGAAAGCTCAAGGTCTAGAGTGTGTGGGATCAGCTCTGTCCAGCCCACAGGACCACCTCATTCCCAGAGGAGACTTCACGTGTAGGAGAAAGACCAAAATCTTGACCACAGCCTACAAGACCTGGTTCATCTCCCCAACACCCCGCGCCCCCACTCCCTGAAGCCCAGACACACCGGCTCTCTTGGCTGTCTTTCCATTCCTCACTCTTGCCGTGTCCTCTCTTACCTCAAGCCCCTCCCCCTTACCTCAAGCTGTTCCCTCTGCCAGGCACATTCCCCCAACCCCGTGTCCCTTCTCCTCAGGGCTCAGCATAAAAGCATTTCCTCCTGGAAGCCATGGCGGCCTCCAGGCTGGCTCAGCTGTGCTAGAGGTTCCCTGTGGGCAGGGCCAAGCCTGTGTTGTCCACTGACAGTACCTAGTTCCTGGCTCCATGCTTTGCACACAGTTGATACTCCTCAATGTTTGTTGAGTGAATACATGACTCACTGTGTGGCCTCTAGGTAAGCGTCTCTGCCTCTCTGGGCCTCAGTTTCTCCATCTGAAAACAAAGCAGCTGAATGGTCTGGGAGAGCCCTCGCAAGAACTGCTCAGCCAGCCAGACTGGCATAGGATGGTGACCCCGGGGGCCTTGCTCACTCCTCACTAATCAGCATCCCCTCTGGCACCCTTCCTCTCCACGGGAGCGTGTGCACACAGCCCACATGGCTTTGAGTGGATCTGTAGGGAAACTTCAGAAGCCCCATCTAATTAGCATGTAAAGGCAGCTCTGTGGGGCCAGTCCTCAGCACCAGCATCAGCTAGTGAGGTCCCTCCGACTTGCGACCAGAACGGAGCTCTCAGTGGGCAGGAACCATACCTGAGCCTCCTGTGCCTGCCGGGTGACCGGCCCAGACGGGGCATCAGGAAACGGGTCTCCTGAGTTGCATCTACTACTTAGGGACTTTATCCAGACCCCAGAAGCCTCCCACTGGGCAGAGCCTTTCTGGTCCCACAGCCAAGACCGTGACTGCTTCTCTGTCCAGGGCCAGCAAGGGTCATCCTTCTACTTCTCTCTGTCTGGCAAATGCCCCAGTGGGGAGTTTGTCCAGTGAAACGCTTCTGCATCTCCAGACTCTGGGATTCTGTCTCTAAAGCACGCCAGGGCCAGCTGACGCAGGGGCTGACGGTGGGGTACACACTGGCACCACGATGACGTGGTTTGTGGCCATGTTTCCGTCTTCATCCTGACTGGCAGGATGGTGATCCAAGACCACCGAGTGGCCTGGAGGTAATTACACCAGCTCTGTGCCGAGAGCCTGGGGAAAGGACTCCATTCAGCAAAGGCAGAGCGGCCACACAAGTCATGCGGCCACCACACCCCCACCCCCACCCCCACCCCACAGGCCGGCCAGGGAGACAGAGGCACCAGAGGCTGGAGCCCCAGACAAGTCCTCCTAACCTCAGGGGACGCTGCAGCCGTCCAAGTCGGGCTGAGAACAGCCAGAAGCCCGTCCCTGAGTAGCACCTGGCATTCCCGCCCACACCCCGCCAAACGCCTTGGGGAGGGCCCCCCGGGTCTGCGTCTGGCTGCGGGTACGGCGGGCAGGGGGCCGCGGGGCGTACCTGCTCAGGCTTGATGGGCTCTGTGGTGGTGAAGATGTCCGAGTAGTGCTGCCTCTCGAACACACGGTCCAGCACCTCCAGCTGCTGCTGTGTGAACAGTTCTCCCCGCATTTGCTTCCGGAGGAAGTCTCTGCCCGGCAGTGAGTGGCCGTTCGGCACCGGAGACTCCTGAATACCTGTGATGAGAATGAGAGAGGAAGGGGGAGGGGGTGCAGGTGACACAAGTTGCTAAAGAAAGACACGTCAGACGGGAGAGAAGACAGCCTGAGAGACCCACAAGCCCAGCTCCTTTCCTGATGGGAGAGGAAACAGACAGGGGCTCAGACAGGGGGCCCTCAGTCAAGGTTACCCTGCCTAGTTAGTGCAGAGCCAGCCTCCGGTAGCCACCTGCCAGGCAGCAGGTGAAGCCCCTTCTACATGCAGCATCTCATCTAAAACTAACAACAACCCCAAGGTACACAACATTATTTTCCCCATTTTGCAGATGAGAACATTGAGACTTGAGAAATTAAGTCATTTACCTGCAGATTAGAGCTCAGGTTGACTGGAAGTCTTAATTACCAGGTGCCACTTCCTCTTCTTCAGAGAAGAACCCCCGCCCCCTGGAGGTACAGTTTTGTCCCAGAACTGATGCCCTTCCCCAGGACATCTGCCACCCCATCACACGACCAGTCAATAAAGCACTGTGCCAGGACAGCTGTGGGGAAGGAAACCGCTCTCATACAATTCTGGTGGGACCCCACTGGTCACAAAATCCATCCAAGTCACAAATGCATATTTCCTTTGATAAAAACAGTGGCACCTCTGGACATTTTTTTTTTTTTTTTACCGCTAGACTCACACATACGGGAAGTGATGTATGTACGAGGTTCTGGTAGCAAAAGCCTGGAAACAGCACAAGAATTTATTTGTAGGGGCTGGATAAGTAAGTTACGGTGTGCTCACACGGTGAGCCGCTGCAAAAGGCAACAAGGGCTCCCACCGTGAACTGATACAGAGAGATCTTCAGGATACACTGTCGTATGAAAAATAAACCAGGTACAGCACAGCATGTATAATGTATAACCTTTTGTGTAAAAAAAAAAAAAAAAAAGGGAGGGGGGAAGAAAATAAGACTTTACATGCGTTTTGTGTATATATATACAAAAGGAACTCCGGAGGGCACCATGAGAAACATTTAGAGCGCATACCCGTCCTTTCCCGGGAGGTAGGAACTAAGTGGATGGGGTGAAGGGAGGGACGCTTTTTTGTCCTTTGTTTTGTGTCACTGCAGAACCTTAAATATACCACTTACTCAAGAGCACGAATTACCAAGAAAGGACAAGATTAAATTCTGTATATGTTCTATACTGTCAGCTCTTCACACTGCCACAGTCACTGGTGATAATGCTTACGTTTCAAAGAAAATATTACAAATTACCAATAAAAGAGAATGGGAAGAAATGTTTTTTGTGAGCCTAGAGCCTGAACCACTCAAAATGAAAGACACAACAAGGAAGGCCAAAGTTTCCAGCGAGGGAGTGGCCTCGAGGGCCATCATCTCCCAGGGTCCCGGTGGACCCGGCTGCTGATCAGGGCTGACCACAGACACAGCGGATCCCAGGGCTTTGCCACTGGGGAGCCCCAGGGGACACCAGCCCGCGTCAGATCTCTCACAGGCCCTCACACAGGCCTTGCCCGATTCTCCGCTACATCCCGCCCCACCAGCACATGCTGCCCTAGACGGCACCCATCATGTCAGGGTCCACACGTGTGAGGAAGGAGGCCAAAGCAAGGAGCTTGAAGAACTGGGAAGCTGTGTCCCTGAGAGGCTGCTGAAAGCTGGTGTTTCCCTAACTGTGCTATCTGGGGGCAAATGTAATGCAGGGTCTGACATGTGAGCAACACCAGCTTTGGGTGTTCACACGAATGCTGGCCTTCCAGAGTCCTCCGTGGAGGCTGACTGCTTAGAGCACCCAGAATCCTCTATGGGAAGGGCCTTCAGAGGTAGCTCATAAAGCCCCTTGAGAAAACAGATCCCAGCTCCATGTGGACCCAAGAGCCTGAACGACCATACACCCCAATACGGGGGCCACGATGGAAGCTGGGCTCTCTGGCTGATGTCTCCCAGCCTAGAGTTGGGGTACCCCCTCTGGCAACCTGGGATACTAGTCTTCCATAAGACTGTCCCCTTCCCATTCCTGCCCGTAGGACATCATGCTCAGAGTCCTTTTTTCCATCATGGCCCATCTCCATGGGGCCCATTCCTACAAGAGCACCAAGACTAGCAGAATGTGGGAGCTCACAGCCCTGTCTGTGCTCTCCCACTGGTTGGCATCCGCCGAATAACCCTATTATCAAAGGATCAAAGGTACATGTACACACACACACACACACACACACACACTCACGAGGACAGCTCATCTTGCTCCTCCTCAGCTATTGCTCTGGCCCCAGCTCTGGGGTCTTCCCGGCCCCAGTCACTCCAGCTCAAGTATGATCTTGCCCTGGGTCCCCGGTGCTCCCATCAAGTTTCTCCCTGTCTGAGGGACCACATCTTCTCTTAAGAGACTTCCCTCTGCCCACCAACTTCACTGATGCTCCCCAGCCCCATCCTGCCAGCCAGGCCCCCAACTCCTAACAAAGGCTCCTTCCTGCTAACTCCCACCAAGGTCTCACTCTGCCCCCAGTTGGGCAGTGCCCACCTCTACCCCCCCAACTCAGGCTGCTCCATTGGATGTGCCGACCAGGCCATCCTCCCACAGTGTCCTCGGGCTCGATCCCTCCCCCGTGGGATTCACAGGCCGGGGTCTTTGCACAGCCCATAGTTCTGGAAGGGCAGAGCTTCACCCCCAACTGAGGGAGCTGGGAGTGGTCCTGCTGAGGGCCCCTGTGGGCAAGGTCATCACCTGGCCACTGACTAGGTCCGGGCACAGGGTAAAGGCTCAGGGCACTGGGCCAACACCAAGCGTATGCACCAGGGGCCCTTGGAGTCCTACCTCCCTGAGGACAGCTCACGTACTCCAGGCACACACAGCCTGGCAGGGACCTGGCCATCTAAGAGGACGCGCTGCATCCTGCTCCGGCTTTCTGAAAGTCAACCGTAGCACCATGGGCCTGGGCGAGGGTCCAGGCTACCCAGGTGACCGAGACCCTCCTAGTGGAAGACGGCGACCTCTCCAGGCACGTGCTCACACCTATGACCCCCTCCTGCTGCCCTTGCCCCTCCTGCACCCCTGCTTTCTCCATTAGGGGGGAGGCGAAGTAGGTCTTCCCTGTCACTCTGTGCAGATGTCTAATGTCTGTCATTTCCTTCGGAGACTGGGGACACTTCTACACCTACAATCACCTACTTAACAAGTATTGAGGTATTTACTCTGCACCAGGTGATGTTTAGGAAAAACAACAACAGAGGATATAGCGATGACTAAGACAGGCCCCTCTTTCCAACCTAGAAAGGGCAGCCACTTGAGCCCAGTACTCCCACAGACACACGGCTACAAACTGTGATTACCGCCAAGTAGAAAAAGCGTCTAGAAATGTATGCATAGGACTATGGATAAAGGGGAAGGGGTCTGGCAGCACGGGAAGAATTAGAGGAGTCTTCTAAGGGGAAGTCGTGCTTGAACTGAGAGTAGAGGACAAGGGTCAGCAGGGCAACAAAGGGGGGGGTGGGGTGGAGAGGGCATGCCAGGCAGAGGAGACCGCCTGCAAAGGCTTAGACATGAGAAGGAGTGGAAAGGCCCCGGAGGAGATGGTGAGGGAAGAGACCCCGGGGGACCATGGAGAGGCAGGCTGGGGATGGCCAGGCAGCCCCGGACCCCCCAGAAGACCATGGGGAGGATCTGAGCCCTGCTGGGGGAGCAGTGCAGGGACCACAGGAGGGTCTGGGGAACCATCACCTTCCACATTTCTCAGTCCCGGGACCTGAACTGTTAGTTCCTTTAGATCAGGCTGTGCATTTGAAGCCCTGCTCCCAAGCCTCGTCCTTTGGAAAGACTCGGCGCTGGCCACATGAAATTTGCACTTGTGGGCATCTGAATGTGATGCTTAGAGTCAGGCTGTCAACCACAGGTCGCCCACTGGGCTCCTATGGAGAGTAAACCATTCCTCATTGACATGTGCACTGTCGTTACAACAGACACAGCCAGAGAGCACGCATGCCGCCTCCTCCAGGATGCCTTCCTTCCTGCCCCAGCTGCTTCATCTCCCACTCTCTGGGCTCTGGCCACTTTCTCCCTTTTCTTAGATGTCAAGTCCACTAGGCCCTTCGCTCTGACACTGCACTATTAGCCGCCTCAGGAGGAAACCACAGTTAATTCATCTCTGTCTCCTCCATGGGGAGTATTTGTGGGATAAATGAACAAGTCAGGAATCCCTGTGACAACCACTTCCATTCCGCAAGTCTGGTCTGCAAATGCCGGCATCCCTCTCTATCTGACCTCATCCAATCGATCATTCATTCTTCTCTTAACCAATCTCAGTGAGCAGGTGCCGTGCTAATGCTGGCATACACCGACGGGCAAAGCTGGCCCTGCCCTCGTGGACGTATGTTCGGTGGAGGAGGCAAATGTTAACTGAAAAATAATCAGACCAGAAAAGGCACACGTATCAACCAAGATAAATACTCTAACAAAAACAGGCATAATTCTTCGGCCAGGGACACAGCTGACCTGCCTCTGGGAGCCACACACAGTGGGTCTGCAGTGAGGACGAGCCAAACAAACCAATTCTCTGCCAAGAGACAGCTATAAAAATAAATATCCGAAAATCATCCCTGGCACAAGGGCAGGTCTAAACCTCCAAGGTTCCAGTGGAAGTTTCCATAGCATTTCTCTTCTGTGCCGCAGAGATGCTGTCTGCCTTCGTTGAGGAATGTGGTCTTGGAGACAAGCTACAGAAATGCTCAGACCGATTGTATTCTGGGGAGAAAAATCTGAACTTGAAATGTGAATGGTATGCTTAAATATATGGACAGACATGGGCGAAGTACAAAGGTATACAGGGGGCATGGTATCTTTAAATCTTTTTTTCTACTCCAAATCAAATAATATGTAATAGACCCAGTGCTGGGCTTAGTCAACCATGGCTCGTAGAATTAACATTCTGGAAGCTAGCTTCAGGGGAGCAAGGGGCAGGAAGCCCCGTCTCGGGGAGCAGAGAAATGCTGGCTTTAAATTTCAGGTTAAACCAATGT